CACTGATGCTTGAGACACAGGATCCAAAACTGAAGCTCAGACAAATTAAACCATCCACCACCATGCACCAAGCTACTGAGCTGTGCTTTGATACAAGCTCACATCCATTAAAACAATAAAAAACAATTGTCACCAAGGCTGACGGAGCCCTCAAGAAAATAACTTTCAATGTGTATGTATTTCTATATTATAAAGATTTTCGTCTGTGTTTCTTTATTGGACCGTATAATAGAATTTTAACTTTACCGTAAACACATATTAAATGTTTTTTAAAATTTAAAAACACATTCACATGTTAGGAGACAGATTACATTTTCACTTGACCTATAATTGCTCAAAAAATATGAAATATCCGACTGAAATCTGACGGTGTTGACCGAAAATTGAATTTGTTCTCATTTAGCTCTCAAATACATTGAATCAATCAACTACAGCAGCAAACCAATCAAACCAAACAATTTATAGGTTTTTATAAACATTCACACCAAGCACACAAGTTGTTTTCCTTCATTCAATTCTTTCATCTTTCATTTTCATTTCTCTAGAATGTCTCAGCCTTGTTTGGACCCCCTGTCTCTTCCCTGCTGCAGCTTGCCTGTTTGTCGGGGGTGTCTCATTCAACTCATCTGATGGACTATCTCTGGGTGTTGGTTGAGTCTGTCTTCGCTTCCATGAGTCTCTTTGACTATGCTTCCAATTCTCTCTCCTTTTCATCTGTTCTCAAATTCTTTATTTGCTGTATTTTTCCTTCATTAACTCCGTCTGGACTGCCTCCATGTCTGCCTTAGAAATTCTTCTTTTAATTATGGCTGTTTACTTATTTTCTCTCTCCCCTTCTAAGTTCCTCCACTGACAGATGATGCCTCTCCATTCTGGACTAAAACACACAAAAAGAACACTCAATATTATTAACCATATGTTCCTGTAGTGGAGAGGGAGTGTGTCTATGTATCTTCACCAACCCTGATAGAGTTGATGACTATCAATTCACAAAAGCAATAAAAAGGAGATAATGCTGAAGCCACGTATTTATATATTATTAGACAAACTAATAATAGACAGTGTTGGGACACAACTTTGAAAACGTATGAAATATGCATGTGTCATTGAAAAACAACTTTGCTCCAATATGAGATATTATTCGTGTTTCTTTTGATCAACGAGCTCTTTTTAATCGTTAAATATTTGTATCCATTTTATTGCACGTGAATGATTGAACCCTTCTCTGTGGACATACTGTTTTAGATGTAGGGTAGACAGATAAGTGGCTTGATAAAATCATTATTAAATTAAATTGAAGGGGATAATTGTGTTGAATACATTCTATAATTAGTCCCACATAACAACAGCAGCTGGACGGGTTTTGTCCCATGTCTCAGGACATGATTTAATGAATATGAGACGATGACGTGCACACTGTGAGAAGCAAAAGAGACAATAACACTGAACATAGGCTCAACATTTCATTTAACGTTCACTGACTTGTAATTAATCTTTCATTATTTATTTAGTTTCTTGTCGTTTGCTTTTCTTGGGCCCTTTCCAAAGTGTGTAGAACACGATTCTCCTTTTCACTCCGTTTTTAGTCTCCGCTAAGTCCTGAGAAAAAAGATCGACTGAACGCACCACTGCAACTGGACTGTGTCCGACAAGCACAGCTATAATATCTGTCTTCTGGTGACAGCATTCCGTCCACTCTGTCCTGTCGTTATTACAGATATATCAGCTTTAGCCTCGGCTAAAGAAACTTGGAAAAAAGTGTAAGAGATGTTCTGATTCAAATCAATCTTCATATCCATCAATCTTTTAATATATGTGGCTTTTGATGTGATTCTGAATATCAGTCTCAGTAAATAGACGACGCTCATCACTCTTTGACTCATGCATTTTATTCACACTGACTGTGATTTCAAATCCACGTGTTCATATTCACTGTACATACATTGTTTTAATTTTTAAAATCTAAGATTCGCCTTTAGCTTCAGAGTACCCTCAAGTTCGACCTGTAGCATTGATTACAAGGCCAAAACACTTGATGTCGCTAAGGGCAAACAACTGAGGTAATCTCCTGAACATCTACTAGTTAGTTAGTAACTTAAACTGTGCAGAGGACCCTCAAATGTACAAGTGATATTCACGACCAAGAAAACCTGTAGAGTCCAACTGAACATTTTTACAAAATATGAGGAAATTCTCCTGATGCGTTCTTGAGGTGTTGTATTCACAGGAATGCGATCGACATGCGAATGTACAGACAACCTGAAAACATAATGCCTCCAAACACTGGCTGTCGCCCGCAGAGAAGCATGAAAGAGGTAATATTTCTAATCTAATCGTTATTTAACAAAATCAGAAACCAAAGCGATTTCAGGCGTTGCGAATAGCCACATATGCAAAGAGAGGCTCTGATCTGTTTTTGTTTTATAATCGGGAGGTACCAATGGAATGAATGTCAAGGAAAAGTTTGACTTAGAAAAAAAAATGTAACTGCACCTGCGACTGTGGCTCATTATCTAAAGTTTAGATATTCAGTTCAAATTCTGTTGTGGTTTAACGGGCGTTTAAACGCTTGTGAACTGGAAATCTAACATTTTCCAAACTGAGGGGAAAATACAGTAACACTCACAGTGTAAGAGAGGGCAGCAGCATTTTTAAAACGTCGATTGATTCAAATGGACAGTGATACATTGTGACATTTCTTCATAAAGTGACTTTGTTTAAGGCATTAAAGGGCATCGTCCTAAGAGCTCCTCCCACTGTGGAGGCAACTACCACAGATGAATCCTACAGCTGTGGGAAACACTGAGGTTGTCAAGACTTATTTTTCATGAGCATTCTCTTACGACTGAAAACTAGGAAGAACACAGCACTGCATCAGTCCACACTTTATACCAAACAGTCTATAACACAACAACCACAAGAACAAGACGTTTCTATCTCTGCTTGCTACATTCATTAAATTAAGTCTATTCAGAAATATAAATAAACATAATAAATTTAGAGCCAACCTGGAAAAGGAGGGGAAAACTATCCATCCATGCCTCCACTCCTCTTTCTCATCTATCTATCTGCCGAGCTCACTAAACCCGGGTGTGCAGTGGCCGCTAACAGAGAGGGAGAGGGACGGAGGGAGGGGTGAGAGGGAGGGAGAGAGAGATCAAGTAGGTGTGGCCAAGAGAGAGAGAGAGAGCGCCTGAGAGATGACTAAAATAACTTTGTGTACTTTCTTGACAAGTTGAGTGCAATACTGTCTGATAAATGTTCACACACACATAGGAAACAATAAAGGCCTTAGACAGAGTGACTGTGAGGTTACACAGTGAGGTGAGTTACATCCTGTCTCTATTCCAAACTGTTTATAAGTTACTCATGAGTGAATGACATCAACTACAGGTGCAAATATATAATAGATTCCTCGGATTTTAACAAATCATTCACATTTTCTTATCCGGCAACCATAAAGCACAAACATACGGCCACAGAGAAGTTGAATTAATTTACTACTTACTAACTATACTCTGTGATTAAAAAACTACGACAACAAGCACTTTAGTTTTTATTATCATGAACAATGAACCAATAGTAATGTTCAAGTTTTCTTTTATCACTTGTTTCTGAGTTGACACTGGGGGTTTAGTAACATGATTATTTCGGTGGCTGGTTGGTTAGGCTGATACATTTATTGTTGTTAAATTTAAATTGTGTATTAATCTCTCAAAATATTCACAAATACTCATTCATGTTTTTGTTGCCTCCTATCTTATTGTAACTCACTGTTCACCACTAGCTTATCTGTGTCTCAGCTCCAAACACAGGCTTTTGATTTGAGTATTTATTTTGAATATTCATACACAACATTCACAGGTGCTGATCCCAGACATGGCAACACAATTCATAGAATCCCTTTGCAATGCTTTATATCGAGATGATTTAACAGGGCTTTTATTTTTATCCAGTCTCTGTGTAAACTGTGTCATATGGCCCAGCAAGGAGGCTCTAACCAAAGGGTGTGATCATCTTTGGCACATCTCTTCAGATTTTGTGGAGTTACTCACCGCACAGCAATACCAGCTTGTTACTGTTACATCTGCATCTCCCACACATGTGAGTAAAGAGCCAGATTATGTGTTATGAGTATTGTAGGTCTTTTCAAAGCCACCACACATCTGTGGCTCTTTTTGTTTGTGACAACATAAAACATTATGATAAAAGTAAGTTTGTTAATTAATAATTCTACTTTAATCATAACCACAATATTGTTCAGAAAAGTTACACTTAAAATGGGATCCAAACATATATTATCCTCCACATGATAAATCGTTTCAGAGTCGAATGTTCCCAGCTTTCCACCCATCAACACTGACAATGGTTTTTTTTTGTGTCTAGTCAAGCAGGAGGCAACACTGTCATCGTTGCTTCTGTTGGCATGACAACCGTGGCCCCTGTTGCTCCCCCGTTCACATGATGACCAGTGACCCGCTGGCAAGGTTATACACACAGACACACACACACAAATATAATCCGTATCCTGCACCGGTACAGCAGGAAATAGCACTGCGGGGAAACCCCAGATAATTTCCCAAATACGTGAATGAAATGTTTGATGGGACAGGCTCCTTATCTGTAGTGGTTGAGGGTGGTGGCTGCAGCTTATGTGATTAAATGTAATATATGTGCAAGTGTGTTACAACAGTTTTCTATTCACACACACATTCATACAGTGCATCTATTTGCAGTTTGGGGTTCAGCATCTTGCCCAAGGACACTTTGGCATGCAGATGGGGAAGACTGGGGATTGAACTGCCAACCTTCTGGCTGGAGGACGACCACTCTACCCCTGAGCCACAGCCGATGTTAGTGCGACTTGCAGCTAGGCAACTGTTCACATCCTGCTAAGTTTTCAGCCAATGGCTCCACCCATTGGTCAATGTGAGGTACTTCAACCCATTCAATACTTGACTTTACGTTCTCTCTGTCTTCTCTCACTCATGCCATCTTACCTCCGGGTGAAGATCTTGAGTCCGGTGAAAGACTTGGAGCAGCCGCTCATCATCTCCTTATCCTCCTCAACACAGAGTGGTGGCGGCGAATGGGACGACGGAGGGAGGGTGGATGAGGAGCGCAGGGAGGTGTTTGAGGAGGAGGACTCCGAGCTGAACTCTCCATCGACTCCTTTCATATTTACAAACCCTTCTCCTCCGTCTCTTTCCGTTTCCAACTCTTTTTGTTCAGTTGTGTCCGCACAGGTCAGCGGTGCGGCCCCTTGTCCCAGATCGGCGTGTGCTCCAGGCTCCAGATCCATGACAGACAATAAGCTACTGTGATCTCATGGCCGGTCACATTTTGCCAGGATAAACCACAACTCCTGAAATTTAGGCAGTCCGTGTAAAGCTTCGCTTAGACAGAAGAGTCTTTATGCGACTAAAGTTCTGAAAATCATGTGCAGGCAGTCCAAGAAGAGGCCTCCCAACATCACTTTAACTATTCCAAATATTCCCTAAGGAATTCTGTGTGTTTAAAGGAATCCTATGTGGAGTAGTCACACTCCTCCTGACTCAAGGTTCTGAAGCCCTCTATAAAAACCAACTGTCTGACCCCGGCTGCTTCACGGCAGTCAGGTCATATGGTTTTCATGGAGGGAAATGTGACCTGTGACAATGAGGTCAGAGTGTGTGCTGAAAGAACTGCAAACAAAGGAGCAGACTTTACACAAACCACTGTTTGTTTAAACTTCAAGTATAATAAGGCCGGGATAATAAATACAGGAAATGACAGCGGTGCTAACTTCAGTCAAAGCAAGTAATCTATTAAAGTTGATCAATTATGAGAGTTATACAGAGACTTATAATAGAGATCTGAAAAGTTTGACACAGTAAAGTAACGACAGTGGATTCTTAATACACATTAACTGCTCTAGGACTTCAAACATGGCTACCCTAATCCAAAGGTCTTTTTACAAGACACACAAGGTGTGTGTGTGTGTGCCTGTGTGTGTTGGTGTGTTTGTCTGTGTGTGTGTGTGTGTGGTGAGGGATTAGTGTTGAGTCCTGAGTGAGAGATTATCCCTCCCAGCATTCCTCTCAACGTCTCCGCTCGGCGTTGGCGCTGTCACCAGCCGTAGTATCAGTTCGAGCGCAGCAGGCAACCAATCTTCCTGTGGCTGTCACTCACTCTTCTTCTCTCTTCTTTGTTTGTTCTCCGGCTCTTCACTTCCCCTTCCTCCTCCCTCGCTTCTTCCTCTTCTCCTCCTCGTCCCCTCTGCTCTGCGATTAGCCTGTTGGCCTCCTCCTCCTTCCTCTCTTCTTCTTCAGTTTCTCGCCAAGTTTAATTACACTCCACTCCACGTGAGGCGGGGACAGACACACACACACACTCTGATCTTTTCCTGCTCTGCTCGCCCGGCTACAATCAGGAAGTGGATAATGACAACACAGAGGGCCTCATACATAGCTGCTCAGTCACATGCCTGACTGAAAATGTTTCACAGAATAACTGCTGCTCACACACTTCTGTTTCTCCACCACAAAACATGTTTAAAAAAGTATATCTGACTGTGCTTAAGCGTTTTGTCAATGCAGTGAGATGACATAAGATCATCTGCTTGTTCTGCAAAGTTCTTTCAAAGCACTTTTTTCGTGACTTGATAGTTGAACTGACAAAACAAAGCAAACTGCTGTGCACAAACCCTAAGGACCGCCTCACACTTGAGCATAATCGGGCCGATTTTAGACCCAATTCACCCGTTCATTCTCTAAAGGTAAACTTGAAACCACATGTTCAAAAAGCCTAAAATGTCTTTAGTGAGGCTGTCATGATCTTAACCTTTGACCACTGAATATAATAAATTCATCCGCAACTCGATGAGGACTCTTATTTCAGCCGACGGGACTCTCTCTCTCTCTCTCTCTCTCTCTCTCTCTGTGTTTTACTCCCCTCCTCACCTGCATTGATTGTAAGTGAACCAGGAGGTGCACATTCATCCCTGATACATTAAAAAGAAAAGCAAAAATAGAGGGAGGAAACCACATGGTGTTTTCTTCTTATTATAATCTCATGATGGTGACTTTCAAACTTGTTGCCTTACAGAACAACAAAGCTTCACACTTGACTGTCCTCATCTGACCTCGGCAGGTACCACAGCGTCATGGAGCGCCCACCCACTCATTACACAGAGTCTGGGGTACTCACACAACAGAGCTCTGTGCTCAGGCGAGAGCATCGAGACATCAAGGACATGATTGTGTTGTTCCGTGTCAACAAGTGCAACTGTGACTCACTGAGGTGTTTTTTTAATAGTTCCTGGACAACAATGAACTTCTGTGACAGAGAGGAATATGATACGTCAAAAAAAAGAAAAAAAAAAAAAAGGTAAATCATCAGTCAAGCCTTTTTTTAAATAAAAAATAAATAAAGTGTTAACCCTTACCCTAAGGAACGGTGGGGGGTTGCATGTAGGCCATTTCAGCACCACAGTTACTACTTGTCCAACCCTAATCCTTAACTTAACCTACCCTAAAAACATGTAATAATTAACATTTTGGGGACTTGCTTGTCCCCACATTATAAGAAATACTGCACACACACATGCACGCACACACACACACACAAACAATTTAAATAGTTAAATACAGGCCCCTTCTTTATTTGTAATACTGTAAATGATCACATGAGGGTGCTGGTTGATAAACAGACAGGCAGGAGCAGCTCTATAGTTTTCAATATGATTCAATATGAAAGAAACTTTACAAGAGTTGACAACTCCACAACATCCACAAGGATCTCACATATGTGCTACACACCAAAGAGAATAACTATCACATGTTATCTTGCAAACTATAAAGGCAGACAGTGGAAATATTGTCTTTTTCACAGCCAAATTCTGTTTTTAGATCATTGTAGTATTATTGCAGCATGTTTATATCTGCATCATGAAATAGAACTAAAATAAAAAACTCAATTTAAAGTGTGAGGGAACCAACGCTGAATAAATGTAATTGAGACATATCGAAAAACTAGTATCAGCAGAAACCATGTACTGTATATTCATCCTATTATTATTGTCTTTTATTACTTACTTTATTTTTGCCATAGCAGAGCTTAGTTTAAAATCAATTTGATGAATTTGATTATTTCTCTGGCAGGATCACAGAATCCAGCAGGAACTACTAAAAATAGACATCTCTATCGGAATTATGATGTAAGCATTACTTAACTGTACCCTGTCCTATTCTGGCCTGACCGTAACATAAATATATTTCTTTTTATATAGCATTCACACAGCTTTATACTATGTGTGGGAGCAGGAAGAAAAGCAGAGCGGAATTAAAAGATTGCTTGTTGCTGTTATGGTGCAATGTGATCGTCGCTCCCATCCTCTCCACAGAAAGAACACATCAATACTTTTATTTCACACACACACACACACACACACACACACACAC